TGCTCATATTCTTTTACATTACTGCTACTGGAAGTAGCATCCAGAACATTGCAATAAATACCGTAAGTTTCAAATAAAAGCTTTATGGACATGATCTAATATGGCCCCTGGTCTAAACCAGTTTTGTTGCTGTAATAAAAAGATACAACATTGTTATGATCAAAAGTAATAAAACGCTTTGAAATTTTTCCAGATATTGTTCAAGTGTGATTCATGTGTCTCAAGAACAGCAAGTATGTGGCAGAGTTAACTTCCCACATGCAGAGCAAACATTGTCATTATCTGTATGTCATTTTTCTCAAGTGATTCCTACAGGGGCTTCAGGGTCTTTCTTAGTTTAGTACTCCAGGTACTATGTACCAATTGTATCAGAGATATGAGTTAAAACCCAAATACCATTGGGTTTTATGAGGTTTAAGGTGGAATGGTTTAACACATCATGGAAAAGAGGAAGTTTGGAGCCACTCTGCTCTGAATCTGAAACGTATTAACTCATATCATCCTCACAAAAACTCAGGGCAGGACGTGACATTAGTTTCTCATCTGTAGAACGGGGATAATGAGGTCCAGGAAGGCTAAGAAACTGGGTGAAGAATACAGCCAGTAATTCTTAGAGCCGACTCAAGTCCATGCAGTCTGGCTCCATATCCACTACTCTGAATTGCCAGGCTAAAAAGAACTCAGAAGTGGGAGATAACATATATAGATCAGAAAAAGTTAAAATCCTTGAAATGACGAAAAAATAAAATGAAAAGATAAGTGAGAACAGGAAGAAATCCATACTTATAATTTTTCTAGTATAACAGCTTTTCTACAAAAGTGTTGATTATAAAAACACACACAAGTATACATACACAAGGTGTGATGGAAAAAGTATGATGAATGTTTAAATTTAAAAATAACTCATTAAAATAAAAGATGCATTGTAAACAGGACCCCTCAGAAAACCCTCATTTGCTTCAAACGGACTTATCTCATCATTCCTGCAACTTTCTGAATCAGTTTTGGAAGACCTCTTTCCTGGTCGTCTGTAGTGCTGTCATGGTTGTTTTGATATCCTGAATCAGTTGAAAACTTTTACCTTTCATAGTCATTTTAACTTTAGGGATTAGCCAGAGGTTATTCAGCGCCAGATGAGTGAGTAAGGTAGACGAGGACACATCGTAATGTCTTTACAAGCTTGACTTCCCATCGGATCGCTCTTGGCACCAGCATTTGCCATGTTTTACCACATCTTGACAGACACTCACAAAAGAAAACTTCCAGAACTGCTTCAGAAAGTGGCAAGAACAACAGGATACAATATGTTCAAAATAAGGGGGCCTTTGGAGGGGGCCTAAGAGCAATGTGCCTTTTACTGCAATAAATCTTTTTAATTTAAACATTCACTCTATAGTTTGTCTGCTTCTGTGTGCCTTTGTGTGTGTGTGTGTGTGTGTGTGTGTGTGTGTGTGTGTTTCTGTATATGCTGTTACTTATATATCACGGTAGACTACATACATGTATATGTATATATAGTCTTTGACATGTTAAATTATAGCAACAAAATGATAACAGGTGAACATTCTAAATATAAGGAACATTCTAAAATTTGACTTTGTCCAATTATTTTGATGGAAGTCTATTTTCTGAAGAGCAAAGGATAAATGTCATGTGATGAATCATAGACTGCTGAAAAGGTTAAGGCAAAAGCAGAGCGTGGCCGTAGTTCTTTTAATCTGCGACACAGTAATAAGTGAACTTAATTTATTCTGAACAAGATTATTCTCACAGTGATACGAGTCTGTTTTCATGGACAATGATTAGGACAATAATGTAGAGCAGTAAAGTTCAAGATTCACTTCCTGAATGTCAGCACCAAGGTTTTCTGTCATGACATAGAAAAAGAATTCATGATGTTCTGTGCATTTCCCAGAGGACCTGCCCGTGCCTGCACCTACAGACACTGTTCCTACTGCTTGCTGCGATCGGTGAACAGTGGAAGAGCTTTGTAACCCTCCGGGTGGGCATTAGGAAGAAGATGAAATATCTCAGATTCCGTATACACCAGTCGCTATGTGTGAATGTGGTGGCCTCTGCTGTCTCCCAGTCCTTACGGAATCTTAACTCTTAGGGCAATGGTGTTTGAAGATGAGGCCTTTGGGAAGGTTAGGTGAAGGCCTCATGAGTGGGACCAGTGCCCTCAAAAAAGAGACCCCGGGGGCCCCTTCCACCCCACACAGGCCCTCTGGGAATCAGTCCTCTCCAGACACCCATCTGCTCGCCCACTTTCTAGCCTCCAGAACAACGAGAAATAAGCTTCTGGGATTCACAGTCTACCAGATTATGCTATTTCTAAAACTAGTGGTGCAGATAGACTAAGATACCCATCTTCAGTATCCTAGATAGCACTGTAATTTCTTAGAAAGTATCAGGTCATTATGAATATGTACTGTCCTTAGGAATTATAATCACCTGTGCCATTAAACAAGATGGCCTCAATATGTCATTTTCATGTGCACTTGGGAAATATGAGTCTCTATTCATATAATTCACTTATTCTCAATAAATTAACTCTCCATAAAATAATGTAAGTATATTTTTTAAAAACTACCATATACTTGGTTAGTGTAAACAAGGTGGTACACAAATCCATAAAAATTGACTCCAACACAAAAGGTTTTTGATAAGTGTTATCACCTAATTCATCGTGGGTGTTTTGAAAAGTATCTCCAAAAACTTTTATAGCCATAGCTATCAACACAGAATAAGGGAGAAAACTCAAGCAATCATTCTAGTGAATCATGAAAAGAAAAATGGATTTGCCTTGTGGGACACATCTTTCAGAGGGCTGATTCATGATGCCTCTCTCACCTCAGCTTACTACAGATAAAAATAAAGACCCAGACTATGAGGCAATGTCTTGTACCACAACAGATGTTCAGCTGAATCTTCAACCTCATTCCATTTTAGGACACTCAGCCGTGTTCCTGCACGAACTTTGGTTAACTCGCTCACTTGAAAGGCTGTGCTCTCTACATGGAAGGACAGGGACTCTAACATGTAGACACTCATGTGTATCACGTCTAATAGCGCTGCTGGGATTCTAGTGTGACCTCATAAACCCTGCTCCGCACTTGGTAGTAGGGGGAGGCGTCAGACACAGTGAGAGTCAGCTTGCGTATCAGGAGCCATGCTGGGGGAGGTCATACCCGGGATGCGGCTGAAGCCGCTGAGTAGTTCTCACTGATTCTTCTGTTAGAGTGCTGACAATCAGTCTGCCTGGTTGCCCACACTAGGGTGGGTGTGTGGGTGTGGTGTCCCTGTTTAACTGAAAGTTTTTATTCTTTTTATATTTCACCATTCACGGGCATATAAGATTCTTTCATGTGGAAATCATCGCAGAGAGGCGAGGTAGGCTGTCCAAAGCGCAAGCGTTTGCTCCCGAGGCCCTACCTTCTCCTCACTGCCACGTTCTCCGGTGGGTTTGCTGTTGCTCCCTGAAGAACCCCCGCAGCATTCCATGCTCATCTGGAACTCTTCTGCCCCCTCATACGCTCCACTACACTTAAATAAACATCTCCGTTTTTATTCTCTTTTATAATGGTGATGGGGTCCAGGACATGCTACCCTAAAATATTGCACCTTGGCATATTGAATATTTTAAGCTGAAAAAAATGTAATAAATGTCAGCAGCAGAAAGGTCACTCTCACCTTTCTGTCTCTTCCTCTGAAGTGGGTTATTAAACCTAGGAAGAATGTTCTGACCTCTGCCTGAAGTAGAATAGAAGGCACCTTTATGTGAGAGGTGCCCTCCCTGTACCCAGAGAAGGGTAACGTTCTTATCTCTGGAGACACGAAGAATCTGAAGACAGGAAGAATCTAAAGAAGCAGGCCTCCAATGCATTACCATTAGATCAGCCATCCCCCTTGTATAGTTGTATTTCGTGACTGTCCTCATCAAACTTAGCATTAAATATGTAAGCCTAACTTATTTCATGGGCCTTCATTTCTGAAAGTTCCTGTCACATAAGCGGATATTAAATTTGTACCCTTTTCGCTTGTTAACCTGCTTTTTCTCATAGGGTTTCCCTCCAGGAACCTAGGATAGATGAAAAAAAAAAAGATATTTCCTGCCTTACGTTTGAAATCCATTGAAGTCAGCTCTCTTGACCTGTGTCCTTTCTCACTTAACACTGCCACTGCGTAGACACAGAAGGGATTCTGAGGCTGAGGTACAAATCACTTTTCCTTACCTTAAAACTTACATATATGCTGCACGAGGCAAATGTCCCCAGTGTGACAGACCAAGACCAGCGGTCAAGGCAGGTTTCACTCCTGGCTTTTTGCTCCACGTACCTTATCTTCCAGTTCCTTGCTTGGCTCATTCCCCAGATGAGGATAATGACAATGTTTACCTCATACAGGTAATGGAAGTGTAAAGTCAGAGTAAATTAGTAACACACGGACAGTATTTATCACAGTGCCTGGCACACAGCAGATGCTCAATCAACATTTTTCATTGTTGTCTTAAGCCCTTATTTCCCCACTCAAATTGACACTTCTTTCTTTTCTTTTCATTCTCTGGTGCTTGTAAGTGGATAATGGATTCTTGTGATCCATTGTGCATGTCTGATAAATTCTGTTTCCACATAATGAGAGCAGGAAAGAGTGAAGCAGGCATTGTGTGTGACAGCAGGGCTTTGGTGCTGCTCTTTGGCAGGGTCAGCCATGAAGGGGAGCAGCTGTGTGTCGAGGACTGAGTGTCTCTGCTCTGTCTCCATGTGGCTTGGACCTCCAGGAAGCAGCAGCTCACCCCCTCAACGTATGGCCGCCTTCCTTTAAAGGGAGAGCTACAATGTGAACGTAAAGGAATATTTTAAAATATTTCTTAACATATTTTGATAGCTCTTTTTATCTTCTAATTTAAGAGAAATTATAAGAGGTTCCAAGTCACCTGCCCACTGAGGAAAATCCTCTGACTTCAGGACATTAATTCTGAATAAAAGGAAGAGTAACCTGGAAAGGAGTACTTCTTACTGAGGAATCCACAGCTATGCTTATTATTTCCCCAGACTTCTATATTATCACATCAATCCAACTGAAAAGATACAGAAAAACCTGAATATCTGTTCAGAGTCTTCAGGAGTCAGGTCATGCGCTGTCACACCACAGTCTTCGGCATGGAGGTCAATCTCTTATGCCATTCGACAGAAAAATGCTATGGATGTTGGGTTGTTTTAATTTGATGACGGCGCGTCTTGTGTGAGACTGATTTCTCGCAACTGCTGATTCTAAAACTGTCAATCTCTGAAGATGGATCTTTGTATCACTAGGTATCTTCTTTAAAAGTAACACGGATCAATATAAACTGCATAAGAACTTTCACCTATATTTTCTAATCCCGTTACATAAAAGTTCTTTAATTTAAATTAAGGCAAAGCTGGAATGAAACATATTTTCTGTGACTATTTCATTTTTGAAATGAAGTTAAAGATTCGCATTTGGGGCTTCCCTTTCCTGAATGTACCACAGCATTTTGGGCTGGTGCCTGGTCTCATCTGAATATCAGTAGTTTTTGGATAAACAGACGGACTTCCATTCTCTTATTTAGTTGTTTAAGACATTGTCCACATCAGTAGTAAATAAGAACAACAACCTCTTGGTGAATGCATGTGGATGGAAATTCCCGTTTTATATATTTGGGGAAGAGAGGAGAACATACTGAGAATAACAGGTAGATGCAAATCCCCACAGCACTTTCCCCCCTCTTTACATTCAGTGACTAAATATGAAAATTCTCCTGTAAATGCCCTCAGAAATGGCACAAAACTGTGCTATAATTAAACTAAATAGCTACATTGTTTGTGACTTTGATACTTTTCCTAGAAAAGCTTTTCATTTGGATGTTAATCTTTCAGTCACAGAAATATAACATAAAGAGCTTTTGAGTGTTCACATTAGCTGCAGAATAAATAGAGCAAGCATTTTATGTGTATGTACACACACATTCACACACACATACACACACACACACAACTGGACCATATTTCCAAGGTTAAGTGGAGGAAACATCTTTTCATGGTTAAGTGTAATGTTTTCATAGAGATGAATCAAGAAGTTTAATATAGGTGTAAGCCCACTATCGCACAAATAATATCAATCCTATTCTTTGGGGCTAAACAGCAATCTTTCAAATGACCATAGATTATTTCCCCCATATCTTAGGGCTGGAAGTCACCCACAGGGGATACACCAAGCAGGCAGGGAGATGCCTGAATCTTCCTTTGGAGGAAAAGTCACATAGGGAATAATGTGGACCAACAGATCCTTGCCATCTGAGACCCATTCCCAGGCAGATACTACCTGACAGTCAGATCATCACAATATGACTCCCCAAAAAGCAGCTTATAAAACAAGTACTAAACAACTGGACAAAATTTTCATCAGAATCCACAACCTTTAGACTAAATAATGATATTTAATCACCAAAATATTAGATATTAGGGTTCCAGGTGATAGTGTAACCCAAATTATCATTTAACCTTTTCATCCTTTGCAGCTTAAAAAATCAGAAAATAATATGGCTTCAAGTGGACAAATAAATATGAACTTCTAAGGAAATCTTTTCACTATCTATTGTTTTCTTCTTGCTTTGGTTCTGAGGATAGTTTCTCTCCAAGTTTTCTAATAAGTTCTGCGAGGTCTTCTGTATTCTGAGATTTTTCTTCTAGGAGTTCATAGCGGAGACTTGAGATGTCCTGCTTAATTTCCTTTAGTTCCCCTACGAAAAGGAAAAGTGGTGAGAACTCAGTTGTAAGCACGCAATACAGAGAAAACTGATTCTGTAAGGATGAAATCAACCCCACTTTCATACATATTTGCATTTGGAGAGGATTTCTCCTTTTGCAGGTAAAGATTTTGGTGAGTGAAAAGACAATAGCAAATTTATACCAAAGATCTCCCAGAGTTTGTTAAAAAGAAGTGGTGGTAAATGTCAGAGTCGGAGCGGCAGGCCCTCCTCTTCCAAGCATTTCCTCCAAGTCCCTGTGCTTTTTATCTAGCAAGTGACATCCAGGAGAAACAGCCTGCTTTCCCTGTTCCACAAAATTGCTTATTGTCCACAGCCTGCCCTGCCTTCCCCTTCCTGTCCCCATCTTTCCTGCTCTCCTTCAGCTCCAGCTCTGCATTGGGACCCGTGTCCCGGCTCGCCTCGGGCCTGGGCTACCCCAGGGCTCAACTCACCTTCATTCACTTCGTCACTCTCTTTATCTATCTGGGCCTGCAGTACATATCTTTTAATGAGCCTCTTCATTATTTTCTAGACAGGGAAAGGGAAATCGATTTCAGTGTTATGTTCACAACAGACCTCTCATTTGAAATCAGCTTCTGAGCTTCATTCCTTTAGTAACCACTTTGGAAATGACGGCGATCAAAGACAAAAGTGAGTTTTGCTGTCCCTTTGGAAGCAATGTTCATACCACCTGAGCTAATGACTCAGAAGTGAATCCTTGGGAAAAGAGTAAGTAGAGCAAAACATCTAACTGTGTACGTCCACCGCTTCCATTTTACTTGAAAAGTATTAAAGTAAGACACAGTCCATCCGTCAGGCAGATTAAAGCTGTGCAGTGTTCGTGTGGAAGAAGAAATGAAACAGATGTCCAGTTGTTTGTGGCCCCCATCAAGACATGCAGCCACTTTTGATTTCATAATTACTACTTCTTTAGGAATGACTAGTTTCAATATAATAAAGTATCTCTAGTCCCTGGGCTTGAATCATACGGATGTTACTTTTACTGTATACTTATAATAATCAGGAGCCTCAGCATGTGTGCAGAAAGTTCTAGATGGATATACAGCTAAACCAAATATTACCACCTCAGCCAGAAATTAAATGCCAATAAAACTCTACATTCAAGAACTCTCTGCCTACCCCAATGTCTTCAAGATTTTTACCTATTTTCTCTTCCAATAAGTTTAGTGTTTCTGTTTTAATATTTAGATCTCTGACCCATTTTAACTTTAGTTTAGTGCATGGTGAAAGACATGGGTCTAGCTTTAGTCTTCGGCATGTGGAAAGCCAGTTTTTCCAGCACCATCTATTAAAGAAGCTATCTTTCTTCCAGTGAACATGTTTGGCCCCTTTGTCAAAGATAAGGTGAGTGAGTGTGTTTGTAGTTGTGCCTGAATCTTCTAATCTGTTCCACTGATCTTCAGGTCTGTTTGTGTGCCTGTACGATGTGGATTTTATCACAGTAGCTAAATGTATTCTAAGAAATTTAATTTCTTGCATAGATAAATATGTTCATAGTAGAACTAGCCATAATCACAGAAAGAAGAACATCAAATGTCCTTCAGTAGTGAATTATTTTAGTGAATTATCATATACTTACAGAAAAGAATGCCATATATCCACCAAAAATAATAGGAATTTACTTTCATAGAGTGAAAATAGGCTATAAAACTATTACTCATTATATAAGCAATATTAACTTATTCACATAATTGGCAAAGTAGTCTTTATTGCTTAGTGGCCGGATTTGGGGTAGATTTTACTGTCTTTATCCTTCTGTAAGATTAGCCTTTTGCAGTGAACATATAGGCTCTAACCTACAAGAGTTCAAGATTTTATCTACTTTGTTATGTCTTCAGGACTTAGAAAGTGCTTCGTACATGGTAGTTACTCAGTAAATATTTGTTCAATGAATGTATTGGTTTGAATTTGATAAAAATATTCAATATTTCATTCTTAGTGAATCACATAGTTTGAGAATCTAAATATTATAAGTAACTCTCCTTTCCTTATTTAAAAGTTAATACTTACCTGATATTGTCTTGGAGGATTACTGAAACTATTTAAATGGAAATCTTCTGAGCTTCTTATGCTTGATTGTTTATTTTGCCCAAGCTGTTATTTGAAAAGAATTAAAAGTTGATTGTTTAATTTTTAAATTTTTAATAATGGTGAGGTTTTTATTAGCTACACACATGAATAAATCACTGTATATATACATACATATATATATATAATCTTTTCCATGTATATAGTGCCATTTCTACTAATTTGCCTAATATCCTGTCTTCCAAGACTAACCAGGAGCACTTTACATGTCTTCAGACCCTCAGAGGCTGTGAGAGGCTGAGAGAACACTTAGACTTTATGGTTCTCCAACATGCTGTTGCAATAGTCACACTAGAACTTTCCCACAGGTACAATTATAGCAGCAGAAGAGGTAAATAAGTTGGGGGAGTAATAGCAGTAACCTAAGAAGCCCCTTAATGAGGGATCAACAGACAGTCTGACTATGACAGGTACGTGTAACCTACAGTCTCAGGAGGATCCTCAAGAAACAGCAGGGTAAGACTTTATTGTGGGGCAGAATTCAGCTGCTGTGAAAGCATTACTTAACCTGTTCAAACTGGGTCTGTATAATAGCACTAATTAAGCCATCTGAATTTGAGCCTCTATATAGTAGTCCCATTTTGGAAGTACTCTTCAAGTAAAATATCACTATGGCAGCATCTCTCAGCAAATAACAAAGAATTTAAGCAATATGTGACCCGTTGGTACCATACCGTGCTAACATGATAAGAGGATGACAAAAAACTCATTACGCATTTTCTAGAGAGAAAATAAGAGAAACTGAGAAACACAGAGTAGCTCTAAATCTGTAAGTTTTGGGTACAAATTTCCTGCCAGGAGAACAGAAATTCCAGGACTGTCTTCAAAGACCAAAGATGTTCATTGTCTACATTTCCCAATGACATCTGAGTTTCTGTAAGTAAAGTTCAGTGAAGCTGAGTTAAAATCCTTGCTTTGACATCAATGTTTTGATGCTTTTAGTAAGTAGAATCTAGGGTCTCTCCATCGTGACATTATTAACATTTGGGGCTGGCAAATGCATTGGTACAAGGGGGTCCTCTGTGCACTGTGGAATGGTTAGCAGATTGCCTTGCCTCTAACTCCAAGGTGCCGAATAGCAGATCCCTCCCCTATTGTGACGAGCAAAGCTGTTCCGAATCAAATATTCTCTCGGGGCAGAGGGTAGGGCACTCACCCTTCACTGAGAACCATTCATATGGTAAACGGTTTAGGGAACTTTTGTGAATAGTTCTAAGTCTGAAACATCGAGATTTTGATGCAAATATATACCTCTTATTCACCAAAAAACTTGCAGCCCATTCCTAACACAGCATAGAAATCCAACAAGTATTTACTAAAGTTAGCAAATCCAGAGAAACAGCATGTGAAGGGCAAATTACCCGATGTGCAAAGATGCACTATCACCACTTGGTGGCAGAAAATCCTAATATATAGCTGTTTCCATGTAGTGAGACTAAAATCACTGAAAATCTGAAAAGTGATGCTGGTAACACCTCTGCACATACACGGGAAAGCAACGTAAAACATAAGCAACGTCTGAACCTGAGAGATGTGAGTGTCTACAGACTGTGCTGCCATGTGCAGCCAGGAGCAGGAAGGGAGGAGTCCACTAGCTGGAGGCAGGAAGGGCTGACAGCCACCTTTGTCCTGCCCGTGTAGTACGTACTCATGCGCTCCAGTTCTGCATGCAGCGCTACTTCCTTGTGTACCCTCTTTACTACATTTTCTCTGTATTTTCTGCTTTTTCTTTCTATTTCCAATAATGAGTTTAATATTAGAAAGAGTTTGATATTAGAAAGAAATGCTTATGTCTCATCTTACAGGTTCATCGTAGGATCAGAGTGAGAATCACTCATCTGAAGAACGATTATGCTCCCATCTTTGGGATTTCTTCCAGTACTGGATGTAGAAACAGTTCTGGAAGTCTCCAAATCCCCACTGGTATTAACTGCCTCCAGCCAAGGACAAAGCAATGAACTAGAAGTTGGGGAGACTATATTCAGCCATCAGGAGATGCAGGCATGAAATAAAACTATGTTACACGGTCAGTAACTTCTTGCTTTGGGATCAAGTAGATGTGTGTTTGAATTCTGGCTTTGTCTCTTATCTGAAATAGGACCTTGGACAAGTCGTCGGTCCTCTAACAGCTCAACTCTCCTTACTGCAGAGAAGGATAAATATCTACTATGTGGCTCTAGGTCTTAGAGTTTTTACCACCAGCTGTGATCTAGTCAATGTGTTCCCGAGATACTTCTCCAGACACTGTTTTCACCGAAGCGCCAAGCTCATAACTCGGCCATTCAGGGAAGGAAATATTCAGTGATCCCTACACCTAGATGAGCATTATAACCTCCAAGGTCTTATTAAAATACACATTCCTAAGACATGGTGCCAGATTTGGACTCAAGAGATCTGGAGAAGGGCGTTAGGAATTTGCACAAAAACACATGAAGATATAGCCCAGGAGGAACAGACCCACTTGAAACCACCATTTATGTGATTGTATCGTCTGATTTTTAACAGTTTCGGCCTAGATAATGACGAAAATCATAATTCCTGGATAGATATTAATACAAAAGTTCTTATTCAATCCAGTGCAGAACAGATCAACTCACCAGGGCACAAAAGCCTAAAGAAAACCCTCAAAGGTGATGTGTTCTTCACTGGACAGTGCAGTTAGTTACTCAGAACGCTGCTCACCATTTTCAAGTGTACCTGCACTGCGGTATATGACAGAGACCAACTCTCATCTGTCCTCTCGTTCACAGTGTGCAACTGAACAGCTAACGCAGCCTCCACCAATGCCAGTGGCCACAGGAGCTGAATAAAGTAATGACAGACAGTGTACGGTCTGCTCGCCGTTTTTGAAAAGCATTTTCTATGGCTCACCCTACTGATTTCTGTGGTGCACCTGCAGCAGATGTGAAGGCAGCGCTTGTGTAGGTAACTGAAGACTTTAACCTGCAGAGAGACAACTTGAGTAAAAGAGAAACTGCGCCCTCTCAGAGGAAGAGTTTATGAAAAGGAAGGAGCAAACGCTGTGTGAATTCGGTAAAGAACAACAAGCTGTGAGAACTTTTCCAAGTCAGGTCAGGGCCAAAATGTTCTAGTAGGAGCTCATCTCAGTACTAGTGGCAAACCTGTTTGAAATATGTGTGATTGCTTTAAAAAAAAAAAAACATTTTGTCCTCTGGAATAATTAATACATCAAGTGTAACCAAGCTTTAGGAAATATGTCTCAAGTTGTGTTGGCCATAAGGCCCACGGCAGGGGAAAATGGACATCTGTGTCCATCTGAGCCTCCAGGAATCACACGCCAAGACAGACAAGTGTGAGGTGTGCTCACACTTACACCTATGAGAGACAAGGGGGCCGCAAGCAGGAGAAGGCAGACAGCCTCCAGACTGTGACCCAGCTCACCTGTGAAAGAGGTAGCAAATTATCTGAGAATGTCAGTGGGACCAGAGCTTAGAGCAAAGACAGCACAGAGGAGTTCTGTCTGAAAAGAAGTGTCCAGGACCCACAGAGCACACGTAGCATCGCTACAGCTCCCACCATATATGACCACACTGAAGGACCTTTAGACTGTGAAGCTGTGATCAGAATCAACACTTTGCTCCGAACCTCGCAACGGGGTCAGATGCCACAGCTTAGTACACTTCCTAGAGTGTATTTTCATCTAGGGTTAAAATATGCAGTACTGGAAAGTATAGAGTCACCCAAGACTCATTGAAAAGATTCACATTTTTCAATGATTAAAACAAATTTTAATTTTTAAAGTTTTAAGAGAATCTAAAAGGAATGTAAAATTATTTTATTTGATAGATACTAGTTTTTATCATGACGAAGGCACTTTGATCATTTTTAAATTTTTCTCATATTTGTCTAGTGATCTATTATGAATACATGAGATTTTCAATATGAATATTTTCTTACTTGAAAATTATAAGGTATAAATTGCACTGACCTTCATTTGCAAAAATTTGTGTTGAGTTTTTTTATAACCAAATAAAAAGTCACTTCCTTACAATAGGAGCTTGTTACATATGTATAGTATTCATAATTGGAAGTACCCACGCGATATTCTTAACGGTTTTGTGTGTGGTGGATTGTACAATTTAATCAACACTCTTACAGATAAGGAAATTGAAGTTCAAAGAAGTTAAATGAATGGCTCAAGGTGCAGAGATGACACAATAACCCAATCTTCAAAGTATTTACTTCAACACTCTTAGTATGTCAATTTCCAAAATGTCATTTCAGTAAGAAAAGCAGTGAATAGAAAATATTAGCCAAACAGACTGGATTTCATATGTTTATATGAATTGGTTATATGTAATATTATATGTAATTGACATATTACACATAGCCAATGTGCAATATACATAGTCAATTAAAATGCCTTCTGCAAAATTATGGAATTTATTTTTCCCTTAGACATTTTGTGGATCATGGAGGGAAAGTAGGTGGAAAGGCAAAAATAAACTGTTCCTTAGATTGTTCAATTAAGAACCCATTTTATCATTGTGAATGTACTTAACGCCACTGAATTATATATGTGAAAATGGTTAAGATGGTAGATCTTAACTAAGTGTATTTTCTACAGTAAAATAAATCTTAAGATATCAATTGTCTACATACATCAACTCCCTAGTTATCCAGGCTATCATGCATAAGACTAACACTCAGAACCTCTTATCCACAAGAAAACACTGGCCATGTTGCCAATTATAACACAACTCTCGTCGGTATAAAAAGGACTTAAACTCAAAACGCCATCTTTTCTTTGTACTTTCTGTATCACACTATTTAAATATGTGCATAAAGTTAAGGAGGTAAGATGTCTCATTCACAAACTTTATACCTTTTAAAATTATTATTACTTCTATTACTTGGCACAGCTGTGACAAGCAATTTGGACCAAGCGATACGTCACAAATGGCTGCAGTTGCAAATAGATCCACTATGTAAAGATGCTTTTGAAAAATCATTATGTCATTTCACCTTGCTCAGTTTTCTTATGTAACATTTGCAACTAATTTAACTCGTATAACTAACATCAATGATTAAAGGGATCAATTCAAGTATAAAATCTTTTGAGTTCAATACCTTTTTGGAGATAAGCTATTCACCTTCTGTTGCTAACTCTTTCCCCTTCACCCTCTGTCCTTTCATATTTCCTATCCACTCACATATTCCTTCTTTCCACAGACACTTGGTACCAACAATACAAAAAGATTAAGGATCTAGCTGAATTAAGACACGGACTCTGTCTTCAGGAAGCCCGCGTCATCATGGGTTAGCTTGTCTGTTTTCAGTCTGGTGATTGGCTGGCATGCTATGACGAATACGATCCCACCAAAGAGAAAAGAAAGGAAGACACTAACATGTAAGGAGAAAAACACATTTCCTACCATGTGCTTTCGTAAGTTTCTTTCTCGTTTAATTTAATCATTCTTTGAGACCATAGTAACTACAAGTGAAGAAATTGAGGCCTGAAAAGGCCATAAAATTCATCCAAGTCCCTAGCTGGAAAGTGGTGGGAAAATTAACATGATTTTGTGAGTGTGCTGCTGTCATACCTATCCTCAAAATACTAATTATGTATTTTGCAGTTAATGTTTGCTGGCTTCCAAATTCACTCTGAAATTAAGATTGTCCATTACTGTTCATGTTTATTCCATCAGTAATTCATTTATTTCATATTAGTTTTTCAGGTCCATCCATTTACGTGTTTTAATTTGACTCTATTTTCTGTCTCCGGTCTTTTTCTGGGACTTTTAGGTCTACTTTAGGCCTGATATCTGTCTCTTCACATCATTTCCAAACTGTGTTTTTATGTTTGGTTTTCCTGTTCTCGGTGTTTAATGAACTTTACGGCTACTAACAGTTTACCATTACAAATGACCCCTGGCTGCTGACATGATTACTGCCTGCATCCTACGAAGAAGTAACAGCCTTAGCAAGGCAGCATTCTAAGTGGAACACATACAGGTGCATCATAATGATATAAATCACTTATCGAATATTCGAACTTAATTGTGCTCTCCTCTGATAACCATCATTAGGAGGCCAACTGGGATAGCAGGTTTTTCTGTAAAGAGCCTTATAATAAATATGTTAGGCTTCATTGGTCACATTAAATCTCTGTCACGTATTCTTTTTTATTTTTTCCACAACTATTTTCAATGTAAACACAAACAAAGCGCACCTCCCAAAAGAAAAGAAAAAAGCACAAAACATTCTTTAACTTGCAACCTGGTCAAAAAACAGGCTGAAGGCCAAATGTGCCCTGAGGGCTGCTGTGTGTTGAGTCTCTATGCTTCCCTCGTAACCACCACACTGTACTGTCCTCTTCCAGTAAAATGGACTGTAGCTCTGTTGTAGGTATTGTTTGTCATCTCATAAATCTTCCATATCTGCACTATTTTTAAATGCACTCTAGCTTCATCCGTATCTCATAGGCGGCCCAAAGGAAACTTCTGAGTAGCAAGATTCCACCAATTTTCAACAACCCTAAGTGCTGACTGTCTTGGAAAACCGGGGATTATTGTCATGTTGCCTCTAGCTCTTTCATTCTCAGCCCAGTCGGCCATACTGGAATGGCTAAGCCCCAGTCTGTGAGAGGCCTCGGGGAACTGATGCATAACCCTCAAGACCACGTGCCATCTCCTATTCGTACCCGTCCTGGAATGCTGTTCTCTCGGAATTCTTCCCCATGAACTCCCTAATCATCGCAGGGCTCATTTGTCCAGGGTTTACCCTACCTTTAGGCTCTTGTTTGGGTTCTGATTTGAATACTTGTGGCCGACATGGCAAAAAAGAAGCTGGGAGACTGAAGATCAAATAGGCTTTAGGAGTTTTATTTGGGGGGGTAGTTTAAGAACTACTCTGGTAGAAAACAAATCAATCGGCCTCCCCCCTTGGTCTTCCTTTCCATGGGGCAGCCACATAGCGCAGTACAGTGCCAGCCTCGGGGGTCTAGCATGGAAACGGCTGGGCGGGGTTTAGGAGGGTGGCAGCAGAGCCCTGGCACGCCCACCTTTCCCTTGCCCTTACTTTCTTCCAGTCCTGACGGTAAGCACAAGGGCGTCTGACTATGCCAAAACCCTAAGAGAACCCTCTCTGTCACTCCCAGTGAGTCTCCCAGCAGCTCACTGGAGAATTCAATGGGGGGCTGAAGCTACAAGTGTCTTGTTTAAACCACCGTGGTCTGGGTTTTTAATGACGTGCAACTGAACTCAGTCTTGGAGTGCATGGAGCCTCTCCTAGTTCATTCATTCTGGTTTCCCTTTAGCATCTGGTGTACACCTACTGTGTACGTGTGGCAGAAAGGGAGGCAGATGCTCTCACTGTTGAGGATTCTGCTTCTCCCAGTTGGTGGACTCACCCATGTCTAGGACACAGCATTTACTACGAACAGGGCTGACACTGAAATTCCCACAGTGCCTCCTCCAGCAGTTTCTTGATTTCTGACAAATGAGGAGGCACTGGCCTTGGGTCCTGTGTGCTTTCCACCCAAGCTGCAGAGTTAAGTGTGTCATATCCACCCTCAAGATTCCTCTCTTAGCTTTTCCTTCTCCATAACACCGGTCGTGTATCCCATCACCAATAAGTGCCTAACGTAGGTCTTAAATACACATATAATTCTTTTCTGCTAATTGGATGTAGGCTTATTCCTACCTCTCAAAGGCACATCCTTTGAAAGTTGTTAACCAGGAATCGAACTCAGAAAAGGTGTTAACTTTTTAATTGCTTCTGCACATTGATCCCTCTTCTGAGACCACCCTGATCAGATGCATGGCTTTTATTTTCAAATATTATCTTACCTGTTTTTTGTCAACTGATAATTTTGAAAGGTCTTCATGACTTCCTAAAATTCCAAATTTCTTTTCTTCATTTCTCTTTTAAAGATAGATAATAATATGAATACAATCACATAGCAAAATCTTTTTACTTTTCATTCCATATTTTAAAAGCCATCTGCTCTAACTCCCACTCAGGTTTTAATGACAGAAACGTTTAGGTTCTTCCTTTGGGCAAGTATATGGACATCTCCTTTGGATATTGAATTCTTTCAGGCTACAATTCTAATCAATCAGACCTAAAGAGTGCATGCTAAACTATATTAAGTAGACAATTTTTTTCTACTTAACCCATTGACTCCTATAATCATATATCTAGAGAATGCTATAAATGGCATATTTTTTAAAATTCCTACAAAAACAATTATAATAATAACTTTTAAATAGGGCTTTAGAATTCTCAACACACTTTTACATATTTATTTGATCTGATCTTCATGATGTAGGTACAATTTTATTCCTATGCTAAGGTGAGGAAGCTAGAAATCAGAGAGCTTGTTACTTTCCTGAGAACCCCCAACACTAAGTGTCAAGCAAATGGTAATTGGGACATATTTCCCCTTCATAATATAATCTTATTATTGCAAGATTACTTCATAATCATTTGTTTAACTGCCCACCCAGTACGGGAAAGAGGATCATCTATAGATTTCTAATGTCCGTCACCCAGCATTACCTAGGTACAGGGAGCTCGCTACTTCTACAGTTTACTGGCCTATTGAGAAGATCTTATTGTGGCAAGTCTGTTCCTACTAAAGATCAAAACTGAACTATTTATAAATTTTACTCATTGACACTTTTCCTGTTTTTGAAGAAACAAAAAATAAGTGCACTCCCTAATCAAAAGTATTTCATTTTTTTAGTTTAATTTATTTTTATTTTTATTAATGTATGTTTACAGACATAACAGTTACATTCCTTGTGGGGAGTTGGTATAGAGCATTTTAATTCTTTTAAAAATCTGTTTCCCTTTCCTTCCCTCCCTATCCCTCCATCTGTTGATCCCCTTCCCATCTGCAGAAGATCCCTACTTCCTACTATCTATCTTTAATTTTGCTCTTTATTACACTTTGGACTTCTCATAGGTGAGTATTTTAATGATATTATTGTTCTCTTTCAATCTGCCCTTTTCAGAAGAAACAGCCACTCCTTCATACTGCACAATGTGATACACATCCAAACCCACTGCCACCCCGATCCTCCTCCTCTGGACACACTTAGTGCCTCAGTGCTCCTCCCGGGTGTGGTGTTCTGCACCCAGCAGAGATCCTCGAACAGGGCCAGCAACTACCTGCAACCCTCAGTTATATACAGCAGTCCACATGCGCTCCAGACAGGTCTGACCGTGATGCAAGCACCTTTCCTTTCATCTCCGTACCATTGCTCTAGCGTGGTTCCTGAGATTGTTTTCTCATGGGACTACTTTTTACAATAAGTACCCTCGGCCCTTTTTTCTTAAGCTACATGTGGGTAGTTGGTTTCTGAACTGTGCAATATAGAAGCTGAGTTGGCCAGCTTCCCAGCCATGAACAACTACTGACGTTTTACCTAGCTGTATAGACTGGTGGTGAAATGAGGAACTTGCAGCCACGAGAGCAGACACACGGGGTCCACATAGCTTCCTTTCCGTTACACACTCAGATAACGTAATGCACAATTTTAGTTTCATTTCATGAATTTTTCTTATACTTTCTTAAGTAGGAGATGCCCAGTGTGTCCATGGACACAAGTCAAAGAACGGCACTGTATTATGTCACGACATGTGAGGGCAGTGGACATGTTATCAGAGACGACTTTTCCTTAAAAGTAGTGATTCAGTTTGAGGTAGAATAGAAGAAATAAAACTAGGCAGAAAAGAAGACAAGGAAACTGAGCCTTTAAAGTTACACTTTAAAAAACTTCCACTTCAAGACACCATAGTCACTCAAGCCTTTTTCCTTCCAGAAAACTCACTCCAAAATTCCTAAAGGTCTTAAAGACACAATAAGCCTGTAAACTAGGCTCTGGACGTGTCCTTTGCACCTGTAAATTGGGCTTCCTCCACCCTCAAGGAAGGAGCAGTACTAGGGAACAACATATGTCACCTTCAAACACATGTAAATGGCCTGCACTCTGACCTGGTCTGCCAGATAGTGGCCTGACAGACAGTCGGAATGAATACACATCCTGGATCACCCATCAGGACAACACCATGAGGACCTCATAAATATACCCAGCTGTAGCTCATAATGTGTTTCTCTGAGCTCCCACTGTTCACTCGTGAGAGCATCCTAACATCTCTGCTTCATTAACCCTTCTCATGCTTCTTATGACAGGTCCTGAAAATTCCTTTCCCACAGCAGGAGTCAGCAAATGTGCAAACTTGTTCTACAAAAGGGTATTACGATAGGTTCCATATTTCAGCCTCAGGGACATCTCATAGCCAGCCTGGTGACAAGCAGTACAGTGGTCATAATATTTAAGAAAATAATGATAAATTCTCAAACTAAATTACCTTATTCATCTCTGCATCTTCCTGGAAACCTTTTTGATGACCTTGGAACAGCTCAGAAATCCATCTTTTAAATTTCAGTAGGAGATACAGCAGGGACTTGGGGCTCGGCACGAGGTTGAAGGGAACAGGAAGTGTTCTCCCCTCTTCGAAGTAAGAAAACCAAAGCTTGGCCCTTGCAAATTTCCATTCCACATCAGCATCATCCTGCACAAACACACAGGACCACTCAGAAAGGAAGTGCATACGTAGAATTAGTGGGGCACTCCTACCACTCTCTGGCTAGATGAAGTAACAGTGCCTGCAAACTTTCTCAGACTCCTACAGCTGCTCCAAGGTATCTTCAAGGGTCTACACTCCTTCCTACACCTTTTAAAATTTTTATCAGGGTTACCAGACTACAGATCGTAAAACTTGCCGTTATCTTTACAAATGTACTTAACATATTAATGCACTTTCCTACATTTTAAAACAACTGTGAAAAATTATTATCTGTTGTCCTGTAATACATCACTCATTTATTCAGGATACAGACTAAGATTTCTACAATAAAAATTTATTTATCACCCTCTACTTGAGAAAAGTTCCATTTTGAACATTGTTCTATCAAGATTTGGGCTTAGAGTTATTTGTAATCTTAATTTTTTGAATGAAAATTATTGTATTTCTAAAATACAGTGTTTGTAAAGTCTTCTAAACAATAATGAATCAAACATTTCCGCTCTTTATGCCTTAGTGTCCCGGAGTCCCCATTCGTGTTTAAAAGCAAAGAGTTAATTTTCCTGGGCTATTGGTCAAGCAAGCACATGTATAAAAGAGGGAAAGAACAAAGGAGAAGGAAAAGTCCATACTGCATTCCGTTGTTTATCTCCCCCTGCAACAGTTACAATATGTAAACACAGGCTATAAAAATGGACAGAGATGATACCTCAATCTCCTGGAATGAACTGTTGATCATTGCAATTAGCATATTTAACAAAACAATGACCATTGTAACGTTATAGACTCCGTAAAGAACATAGCCGATGTTTTCGATGAATTTATGATTATAGTTGATGACCACCGATTTCACTTCAGAAAGTCCAAAAATGGCCCAGAACAGTGTCTTAAAGCTCTCCTCAACTCTAGGGAAGAATAAAAGAAACAAGAAAGTTTATAAACATATAAAAATAGGACCATTGTAAAATTCATTTGACTTGGCATTTTTGCAAATTACTAGGTATCCATGACAAAATTCTTTACTTGTCTGAACCTTCATCATCTTTTTTGTAAAATGGGTCCAGTAACACTTATCTTTAGGATGGTTTCAAAGATAAGGTAACAGATTATTTTGCAAATAAAGCACATAGCTCAATATCTGGCTCAGAATAAGCACTTGATAAATGCTGTAGCATAACTTCATAATCACAGTTATTAACATTTAAATAATCCATGGCTTTGGCAATAGAAATGTTAAATGTATTACTTAATAAATGATAAAATGTATTATTTATTAAGTAGTGTTACTTAATAAAATACAATCTGTGGGAGAATTATTTTTACATTTTCTGCTCATCTGTGTCATATTTAATAAGGAAAAACTAATTGCATGTATCTTAAGGGTGAAAAATGACAATATCACTGACATGCCTTAGACAAGAATTGCAATGCTTTGGGCAGAATTACTGACCAGAGCTAAACCCAACTGCTTAACTCCAGGTAATTTTATTTCTCTGAATAATAGTGCTTAAAAAGAACAAGGAAAATAATAGGTTATGCTTCAGTTGATACAACTCTTAACACTGACTATTTAACATTTGAATAACCTATTCCAAGCACAGTTTATTAAACATACATGTGCCCATGGTGAACACTAAGTCAACACTCTTGTCATTATTAGTAAGTCGAACCTTTTTTTTTTGGTTTTTTTCCGGTACCAGGAACCGAACTCACGACCTTGCGCTTGCCAGGCAGGCGCTTTTGCCGCTGAGCTAAATCCCCAGCCCCAGTAAGTTGAACCTTTTCAATGACAAGGTCTGATAAACTGAATTAGGGAAGCATCTGCTCAGCGCCCCAGGAGTCCTTATGAGAAGAAAGGCGTGGATTTTAGGGCCGTAGACGCTCAGCAGTAAACAACAGATTGTATCCTGGCTTTTCCACAAACTAACAGCCATGGAACATTCAGCAAATTATTTAACTTCTGTGAATTTCTGTTTCCTCCTTTGGTGAAATGTAGATAATAAAGTTACCCATGAACGGTATTATGAATTGTCTAGTTCTGAAAATATTTGCTATTATCATTTAATATTAGGAAAGTTCGTATGTTTTAGTGTTCTCCCTACTCACTGTAAAATCCTGAAAAGGAATTAGAGAGGAAGTCTTTACCAAGCATGAACTTATATGAACACTGTTCAATGCAAATGTGTTTAATCTGCAATCTCCACTGTCAAAACGTCTGAGATCACATACGTTGTGAAGGCTTCATTTTGTTTTGCACCAATGTAGTAGGAGTAGAGGTTGAACATTCCAATCATAAAGGCCACAAACACCATGATGAATATGACCATGAACTTGAAGATATCTTTTACTGTTCTTCCAAGCGATATCTGCAGAGGTCCAAAGCTTTCATTTGCTGGCAAAATGTAAGCTATTCTGGAGAAACTTAAAACTACAGCAATTGCATAAAGACCTTCAGAGATAATTTGAGGATCAGAAGGGTCCCATTTTATCCTGGCTAGGAAAAACCAAAAACAAGAGTTATGGTGAGTTTATTGAAGTTTTTTATTTAGGTAACTTATTTTCTAATAAAAATATATATAATTATATTGGTAATTCAGTTCACAAATGAAAGTTGATCTAAAGCCCTTTTTCAGTGTCAGTTGCATGTGAACTTATGGATGCTTATGAATTTATTAAGACCTTTCCAGTTGCTAGCAATTTTCCATAAATGTATAGCATAATATTAAAAACTCACACTACAGACTGTGACCTACAAAACTTCCAGTAGCTTGTTTCATCAACTACTGTATCTATATTGATAGATATATCTCAACTGAAATAACTTTTGCAAATACTTCTGTTAGTGTTTATTTCCCTCTTTAAAAACAAGATAATATAGTCCCCACCTTTTTCATTTGTGAGAATTAAATAAGTTCACATATATTCAGTGTTTAGAAAATCTCCTGCACTTAATAAGTTATAACATTTATTATTTAAACTTAAACTATAATTGCACTATAATGGACTATGAGGCTTATGGAGTAATTGCAGTTACTTAAATTTATTGAAGCATTTTTTATCAGTCACTCAAACAAGTCTATTCACCACAAAAATGTTGTAATAACTCATTTGTGAATTTTTCTGGCATTATTATATCAGCTCATCAAAAACCCAATTACGAAACCATTATGAAGAAAATGCAAAACAACATGTAAGAGTGGGGAAAAATATAATTATAAATTTGTATTTGTGTATTTGCTCAGTAGAATAGGAAAGGAAAACAAGAAACTAATAAATGTTTCTATTTATTTTTAGTGCAGAAAGAATGGCTATCATCAACAAATCTAATGACAACAAATGCACTTCCCTTTTCACGGTACTTTGAAGACTAGTATGATCCATCAGTAAATATCCTTCACTTTAAAAAAAAATCTCTATATTTAAAGAAAGTATTTAAATAAGTACAAAAAATTAATAATGAGGTACTCTCACTTGAGTAAGGCAAAGTGCAAGTAAAGAAAATAATGAAGAATGAATAGAAGGAAACAAAGATCTCTTGCAAATGTGAAGTCATCCAGGAGACCAAAAATGAGGAAGAGAGGGAAGGGAGATAAGAAGCAAGAGAACGTGCCCTGCACAGAGACCAACACCCAGCATGAACGTCAACATTACACGTCATAAACACGAGCCGATACCACAATAACATGAGCTGATACTAACAATGAGAAGAAGAAGGAAAATGGGAAAAGGGCTTCAGAGACAGAGGAAGGGAGGTGGAAGGGCAGGGGGAGGGATGTAAAAAAGAAGCTGTGTTATGTCTCTGCACCTACTGGCCAAAGGATGTAGCTGATGTACTGAAACACGGACTAATAAACAGCAATGAGAAAAGGTCCTTATGGGATATAGTCATTAAGCCACGGCGGTGTCCATTGAATGCAAACTGATTTCTCATCAGAAAGTTCGCGGTAAATACTCATGGGGGTTATATTTTCTCCAAGCCAAGTTTCTACTGGAAGTATTTTCATTTTGTTTTGTTTTGTTTTTTGAGGCGAGGTCTTGCTATATCGTTCAGGCTGGCCTCAAACTCACAGCTGTCCTCCTGCCTCAGCCTCCCAAGTGCTGGCTGGGATTAGACACATGTGCCCCACACCTGGCTTGGAGGCATTGTCTTTAAGCAAATGGCTGAACCAGTTTCTATTCCTTAGCATGTGGGGAGGTGGGAGAGTGAGAGTGCTTATCTGGCTACTGAGCTGTGGTGACTGCCTGGGTACACGCAGTGCGGATTAACCTCTTCCTCTGTGGGCCTCCGTGGAGCCCTCTCCTGGGCTTGGGCGCTAGCTGCATCCCCTCCTGTGGGGAGGACTGCTCTTGTCCACTGCTCTTAGGAAATTGGAGAATAAGTCTCCCTAGTTCTGAGATTCACTATTACTGACCCCACTGGCTAACAGACCCAGACCTGTGTTATTCACCCTGGTTTCAGCAGTCTTGGAGGCGATGGCCTTGTTGTCACATTAACTTGTTTCTCAAATACTTTGAAGCCTGGCTTGCAAATAGTGCTGTTGCGATAGACGTCCTTTCAGAAACCTCAAAAATTCCTTTTGCTTTCTCATGTCTTATATGGAAGCAGTGCTCTAATGCGAACTTGTAAAACTTGTACATATTTATGGAATAAAGTGTGAAATTTCACCATGATTGAGATAAGCCCATTAACACAGCCATGACCTCACATGCACTTTGGGGGTATGGTGAGAACACTTACACCTAAACTCCTGGCAATTTTTCAAGTACGCGGTACACTGTGATTGACCATGGTCACCGTGTGGTCCAGTAGAACAGCAGAGCTTACTCTCGTCTCACTAAAGTCTTGCATCCTTGACAACGTCTCCCCTCACCTACCAACCTCCTGGCAACTACCATCCCTCTGTACCTCCATGAGTTTGTTTTTAAATCACACACATGAACGGGATCCTACAGCTCTTCCATGATGGTCTTGCTTCACTGAGCAGAATGCCCTACGGGTTCATCCCTGTTGTCATAATTATATGTTGCCCTTCTTTTGTAAAAGCTGAGTACTATTCTATTGTGTATAAACGATTGAAATGCGAACTATATTCATAGACAGGAGAAAAATAAGTAAATCTAAGCTATAGGCCTGGAATTTTCAGTGAAGCTTCATAGTTAGACAAGTGATCAACAGAAAGATGATTCCCGTGATTAAGAGGGGTTTCCATCCAGTAGAAAAATCAAAAGAGGAAGCCAAAAATATGATTCTTCAGACACAGGTGCTCATTCTTCAAGTAAAGATGTTAGAAATATAAAACATTTGTGAGAATTGGGCAGTGACTAAACTACTCACAACTCTTTTACAAGAAAATTTTGCATTCTTATTAATTTATTGAGACTGTGCAATGTAAACTCACCCAAATTGTAGTATTTCACGTCATCTCCCAGAGTGACTTTCGTCAAGTCTTTCAGAGTATCGTTTGCATCGATGATGCTCTGAGCTTTGGACGCATGCCAAAACGCCATGAACCTCGCGATGAACGAGGCTGCGAAGATTGCTAGCATGCCAAAATCAAGCATATTCCACAGCTCAAATAGGTATTCTTTAGGGCCTTGAGTCCAAATCTCTTTACATTCAGCCCATATCATGCCTGCATCAGAAAGGAGTGAAAATACCGATTCAGTTTCATTTTAGCCTTAGCACTTCCATGAAACATAGTAAATCTGAAACATCTCACCCTGACATTCAAAATTTGGCCCCAACCTTCCTGCCCAGCCACAATTCCCAGCTCCCCACCAATCCCACACCCCAGCAACATCAGTGCACTATCTGAATGCAGTCTGACAAACTCCTCCAGGAGCCTCAAAGCAAAGTGTCCTATTGACCTACTACTTCTGCACCGGGTACATGTACCAATCACACACAACGAATACAGTCACTGTATGTCATGAACATGAACTAAAAAGATACAGATGAAGATGGGGAAAGGGGACCTAAAGGTAGTAAGAAGGAGACGGGTACAAAGGGGAAGGGTAACAAGAGAATCAAGATACACGGGGTACAGTCGCCCACTCCCTACGATGAATGTAAATAGCATGTACCGCACATACATACTAATAAAATAAGAATTAAAAGATGTCCATTATAACAACTAAAACACAAACACACCCACACACTCAGAATAGAAGTACCCATGGGACTTCCACAGATGGAGTACCAGCAGATATTTGATATGATATTTTACTAATTATCACGAGGCAGTGGCCATAAGAAATTATTTCACTGACCTCCAACTACACTATGGGTCCCAGCTACTGCCTTCTGAAAGCCACTGTCACTTTCGCTGAAGGCCAATGACAAGGTGCTCCTTAAGGGGAAATACAGACTTCTCCAATGGCTGTCTTTGCTGCAAGGATTTTTTTTGGCATCTACATCAAAATTTCCTTAGTCTGTACGGGGAGGCAGGCTGCCTCCAATCAGGATGCCTTCCTTCCCTCCCTCCAAAGCTCAGGGTTTGACTTGCACCCCTCTGTCCCCACTCTTGCAAACCTCCTCAGCATTCTCCCTGTTTTCTCTCCTTAGTAAATTTTCCTTAGTAAACTTTCTGTTTCCCTTAATGCAACTGTTATATAATTATCGTGTCAGCTTCTTGGAGAACTTGTGTATACATTGAAAAAAAATCTGTATGCCATAAACTTAAGTTTAAAAAGTTTTAAAACTGTTATGCATTCTAGAAATTCACATGTAAAACTAGCATAGTGAAAGCCCAGGCATAATTATAGCAATTAATTAGTATGGTAGCACTAATAATAATTTTCTGGTACAATTATTTTCTGGTATAACTATTCATAATATTCTATATTCTTTCAAAAATTTAGCACAGTAAGTATCTAGGAGCATTGATTTTTAGACCAGGCCACCAAATATTTGAGACCTTGTCCCTCTACTTACTGACTGTGAAGTCTTTGGGAAGTTGGTTAAATTTTCTAAAATTCAGTTTTCGAAACAAGAATGATACTAGTTTGTTTCTACTTTACGGGATTTTTCACAGAATTTAAATAAGATAATACATGTAAAATGCCCAGCATAGTGACTGGAATTTCTTTAAAGGTATGAAAAATATCTATGAGTACTTAATATTTAAAATGTGCCATGATTGGCACCTATTTTGTTTATTAAATTGAAGAATATTATTTGATTAAAAAGGAGTTATTTACCATACACTACTTGGATATCCTGTCTCTCCCTAGAGTGGTCAGAAAAAATACAACTCAGACTCCAACAACCAGTCAAAAGCTACTTCCATCAAGAAGACTGTCATTAACCTACAGTACAATTAGTCTTCTCTCCTTACCCTCAGCCACCAGTTGACCCCAAGTCTCACACTGTGCTTAAGGCCTCTCTCAGAAGCTGCCAGTTAAATGGCTGTGGAGCCCTGCAGGGAATAAGAGAATGCCGTGCTCTCTGCTCTCCCACAGCATATCATGCGCTTTTCCAAAATCACTCTGTAGCGCAGTCCAGGGAGCGTGGCCTCAACACCACGTCACTGCTTGTTTTGAGTTATTTCAAGGTGAGAGGGGGCTCCTACCGGATTCACGTATCTTCTAGAAGGTCAGCTTGTAACCGGAAGTGCCGTATGTGTGCACACACCCACACACTCACACCAGGACTACGAGGAGGAGTGGAAAAGCTGTGGGCAGCTTTCTTTATGGCCCCCGGGCCCCTGCCAGGCTCCCCAGGAGATGAGAACAGTAACGAGCACAGGGACTAGAGGGGCATCTAAAGTCACACGTTTCAGTCACTTTCAAAGCTCCCCTTCTTTCTTCCCTTCTTCGCCTTGTTTTTCCCTCTCTCTTTAATAAACAGAATTCTTGTTGCAGTTGAAGACTTGCTAAAGCTTACAGACTAAAGCAAATGCCCCAAACCATTCTGCCTAAAGGAAGCGGCCCTGTGTTATTTCCCCCGAGCACCCTGGGGAGCTGCTAGGCACAATTCAAAATCCCTCATTTAATCCAGCTTCTCCCCAAAGCAGGGGAGTTCTTCCTGGGACCAAGTCTCTCTCCGAATGGGTCTGAAGATGCGGAACTTGCTGGCTCTGAAGGCTGACTTTTCCATTATCGAGCTGTCAGGAACATCCCTTCAAAGTGAACCCTCTGGTTCTGCGTCTCTCCGCTGGAGCAGTGGAGAATGAGTCAGCTCCCTCTGCCCTTAGATTTCTTGAAACACAACCACTTGTGTGCTCATTAAAGCTGTTCCTCTCCAGCAGAGGCAGGTTGCCTGGGACGCTAATGAAGCCTAAGCTTCAAGACACCTTTCTTGCCCACACTCCTGGCTTTGTTTTGTCTTCTTTTTTTCTAAATGATGCCCTCCATAAGTGGGGCTCTCCACACAGATCAGCTTCAGGATCCACAGTACTTGGATCCCACACTACTCCTTGCCCTCCACGTGAGCTTCTCCAGCACCCTCAAGTCCTCTTTGACGGACAGGCCACGCATTCTCTGGGCCGCTGTCTTAGGACAGTGCCCTTGCTCGCCAATTGACAGCACGCAGCGTCAGAGCTTGTGCACGTGGTCTGCCAGTGCGACGACTGCGGTCCTGACTACACTGCTGTTGTCGAAGGGTCCACTGTGTTTGTCTCCTCAACCACTCACACTGGCCTTAATCGCGAGTGCTCCGCAGGCCCTTCACACACGGAGTGTCACGGAGCACGTCCTGTGCCGTGTTCCTGCTGTACCTGGTCTCACTGACTTGAGCTCACCGTTCTGCCATGTCACAATCTCCTAAAATATAACTTCTGTTCTTCAGCTTTTCAATGTTTTGGTTGTGGAAAATTAGGTGAATTTGTTTTCTGTGACCGTTAATGAGTCCTTTTCCTCTGGCCAATATAACACACTTGGCCTCCGACCTAAATGGCCTACTTCTTATTCATAGTTTCAGAAGGCTTTATAACTTTCTTTTAAGAATTAAAATAAAGCAAGGAGAAAAAGAAAAATACTATTGTCAGAAACTAAGCCAGAAGTTTAACATATGTATAAAGGCACAGCTTTCTCCTTTGAGTTATTCATTGTTTAAATAAATGCAAGATATCTCTGAAGTAAAATACAACTATGAGCAGGTCAATAATTCCAAGGAAAATAATTTTTATACATAAAAATTAAAGATTAATGTAATATTGTGACTTAGTTTTCCAAGTAAGAAAAAAAAACTGAAATTTATGATAACTATCAATATGAGGAGAATGAACCATGATAAAGAAGGAAATGAACATTTTTTATTTCTCATCCCCTCATATAACATTTAATTTTTTCAGTTTCATCTTGTACTAAAAAAGCCATATCTCGCCTCATGTTTTCAGTAGAAAACACCCATTTATTAAAAAAACTTACAAAATCTTATTGAAAAATTTAATAATTAAAATTCTCTGAACCTTACTGCACATTTTGTATATGCCAGTAAGTGTATTATATATTTTACCTATACTAATATATTTTTTTAAAATAATGGTACATAGGCTGTTAGACTAAGATAAAGGCAATGTTCTAATAGTGTCTATTCTTACATTAAGTCAGATAATAGAGATGAAATATGTTTATCCGGTTTCATCAATTAAATTAGAAAAGAAGCACTAAAAATTCAGTTTTCTCCTAAGCCTGAGGTTTATTTTTACTCTATTGCTGTGATTCACATTTTAAGACACTACCTATATTTTTTGAAATGTAGCCAGAAAACAGTGATTCAAAAGTTTTCAATAACTCTCAGTTGCTATTACATCACCTGAATCCAAAATGACCATATGGTAATTTGTAGACTTCTCCCTAATATTTCAATTTTTCATCCAGTAGGCTCCACGGTGAAGGAGCCAAGAAGTAATATAATCAGTCGTAGCTGCTTCTGCAGGTGGATGAGAAGGAGGGTTGGGCAGAGGTCAGGGGTGGGGAAGTTTACGGACAAGCAAAGGTTTTGTATGAAGATTCCTTGAGCCTTCCACCCTTTACATCCCACATGTTTCCACCCTATGCAATTTCATGCATGGTCAGGGGCTTAAGTGCCACCTGGGAACTGAGGATTTGGGAGCTTTATCCATAGCTCAGACCTCTTCCAGAAGTCCTACCTCCTATTAGTTGGTGGATGTTTCCACCTGGAAATTCTATGGGCATTTCACAGTCAGTCATGAACCTTATTATCAGTATTTCATTCTCCCAGTACCAACCATGGCTTTCTTCTTACATTTTCTCTCTTAGAGTATTATAGTCACCACCCATTAATTCAAGGCAGAATCCATGCTCCCCTTTCTCATATTTAAAAATTGGTTTATTTTTACAGTAGCTTTCAAGTCTTTCCCCCCACTCCCTGAACTCAGCCTCATCTTCCTCATGATGATCACCTCAACTGGGTCTCATCCTCTGGGCCATCCCTCCTTTAAGCCACCTTCTCTACCTCAAAGCCACGGTGACCTTCCTGACATGTGATCTGACCACACTGCAACCACTTAAAATCTGTGGCCATTTCACCACCTCCAGCCTCCTATCCACACACCCGCAAATGCACCTGGCTCCAGCTCTGCCTAACTCATATCTCTGTGTGCCAGATGTTGTCATAATCCCACACCTGGCCATCTAATGTTCTCATACTCTGCAGTGTCCCTGTCTCCTCACATTGCAGATGCTGCCCACGAAAGCTTCCTTACCATTCTATCTCCTGCCTCTCTCAGATTCAGATGCCCAGTGTGAGCATATTCCTAACTCCCCAGTCACCAGTTATGGCATTTGTTGCACTGAACTTAGTAATTTACTTACTTATACTTGCTCCTTAGATTTAACTTCTTTGAGTACAAAGACTATGTCTCACTCACCTTAACAGTCTCAATACTAAACAAAGGTACTTAATATCTATTCAATGTATTTGTTCTCAAATAGCCACTTGCAGCATTCTTTATTTGCATTATTTCAATGGCAAAACATAGGTCTGGTTTTAATGACAAACGAAGTAATAATTAAGACTGGATCCTCTTTCACCTGCCACTGCAAAGGTCTAATCAAGCTAGCTAATCTTTTCATAAGTCCTGTAAAGTCAGTGTTGTACATTACACA